AATGTAATATCTTTAGCATGCCCAGGTGCCGGGGGCTGCAGTTCTTCAAGGCTGCTCATTGTTAACATATTAGCAAAAGATGGCCATCACACACAGGATCTGTAAACAGTGGCAACCTGGGGTCAGAGGACGTCTGTCTGTAGCCTAGCATAAATACACAGGAATGGATGGACGCCTGTTTGGACTAAACTCAAATAAATGAGAGCAGTACATAGTGCCTGGGCACATGGGATCAATCAAAAATGTGTTTTCAACTAGAGATCCCTCCCTCCTAAACCCCACCTCCTTCATGGTTGCCTGGCCACCCCTCACTGCACTCCAAACTGTAGTGTATCAAATCCCTCACGGTTCTGAAATGGTTTGATTCAGAACTCACCCACTTGCCAGCGAAGCAAGTTGTGATTAGGTTAAAAATGAAACCCATGCGTAACAGACTCCATCTGCTCTGTGTGTGTGCTGCTAGTGTGACTGTTCTTTATGAAGACATTATATTGCCCTAAGTAAATCAAGTGTGTGGGTACCGTAAGTGCCATTCAACAATGTCCAACGCAGATGTTTCTTTTGAAACCCTGTGATTTTTCTTCTATGTTCTTTTTTTACGCTTTTTTTCTGTTGGATTTGAGGAAGAAATATCAGTTATTTAAAACTCACTTTAAGGGCCTTTGGCAGCGGGGGGGGGGGGGGGGGGGGGGGGGGGGAGTAAGAATAAGGAGGGGAGGGGTTTACCCATTGTCTGCCCCTGCTGTCTGCCTGGGCACACAGCATCCTCCACCATCTATCTCCCACAGCTCCCCTGAGCAGCCAAGAGACTGGGGGCTTCTGCCCCAGCTGGATGGGAGATATACTGCACCCTGTGCCCATGCAGACAGCTTCCTCCTCTGACATATAGACCAGCCTTCTGGGCCCCGGAGCCAGCCAGCATCCCTCTGGGGACTCTGGCAGTGGATGAAAAACCTTTAGGGCTTTATTATACCAGGAAAAGGGTAAACCTGCAAGCCAGCATCCCTCTGGGGACTCTGGCAGTGGATGAAAAACCTTTAGGGCTTTATCATACCAGGAAAAAGATAAACCTGCCAGACAGGCAGACCGACAGGGTAAAGAAACAGTTGTTGTGTTGTCAAATTAGATTTTATGTCTCCAAACAGCTAATAGGGTTATGTGTGTTGGTGGTCATGTAATGTCATTTGCTGCCCAGACTGTGATACATTTGTGTTAGAAGTGGGATATTGAGATTATCTTGGAAAACATTGTCTCTATAGTACAATATGTTTATAGATGTAATATATATATATATATATATATATATATATATATATATATATATACAGTGGGGAGAACAAGTATTTGATACACTGCCGATTTTGCAGGTTTATCTACCTACAAAGCATGTAGAGGTCTGTAATTTTTATCATAGGTACACTTCAACTGTGAGAGACGGAATCTAAACAAAAATCCAGAAAATCACATTGTATGATTTTTAAGTAATTAATTTGCATTTTATTGCATGACGTAAGTATTTGATACATCAGAAAAGCAGAACTTAATATTTGGTACAGAAACCTTTGTTTGCAATTACAGAGATCATACGTTTCCTGTAGGTCTTGACCAGGTTTGCACACACTGCAGCAGGGATTTTGGCCCACTCCTCCATACAGACCTTCTCCAGATCCTTCATGTTTCGGGGCTGTCGCTGGGTAATACGGACTTTCAGTTCCCTCCAAAGATTTTCTATTGGGTTCAGGTCTGGAGACTGGCTAGGCCACTCCAGGATCCTTGAGATGCTTCTTACGGAGCCACTCCTTAGTTTCCCTGGCTGTGTGTTTCGGGTCGTTGTCATGCTGGAAGACCCAGCCACGACCCATCTTCAATGCTCTTACTGAGGGAAGGAGGTTGTTGGCCAAGATCTCGCAATACATGGCCCCATCCATCCTCCCCTCAATACGGTGCAGTCGTCCTGTACCCTTTGCAGAAAAGCATCCCCAAAGAATGATGTTTCCACCTCCATGCTTCATGGTTGGGATGGTGTTCTTGGGGTTGTACTCATCCTTCTTCTTCCTCCAAACATGGCGAGTGGAGTTTAGACCAAAAAGCTCTATTTTTGTCTCATCAGACCACATGACCTTCTCCCATTCCTCCTCTGGATAATCCAGATGGTCATTGGCAAACTTCAGATGGGCCTGGACATGTGCTGGCTTGAGCAGGGGGACCTTGCGTGTGCTGCAGGATTTTAATCCATGACGGCGTAGTGTGTTACTAATGGTTTTCTTTGAGACTGTGGTCCCAGCTCTCTTTAGGTCATTGATCAGGTCCTGCCGTGTAGTTCTGGGCTAATCCCTCACCTTCCTCATGATCATTGATGCCCCACGAGGTGAGATCTTGCATGGAGCCCCAGACCGAGGGTTGATTGACCGTCATCTTGAACTTCTTCCATTTTCTAATAATTGCGCCAACAGTTGTTGCCTTCTCACCAAGCTGCTTGCCTATTGTCCTGTAGCCCATCCCAGCCTTGTGCAGGTCTACAATTGTATCCCTGATGTCCTTACACAGCTCTCTGGTCTTGGCCATTGTGGAGAGGTTGGAGTCTGTTTGATTGAGTGTGTGGACAGGTGTCTTTTATACAGGTAACGAGTTGAAACAGGTGCAGTTAATACAGGTAATGAGTGGAGAACAGGAGGGCTTCTTAAAGAAAAACTAACAGGTCTGTGAGAGCCGGAATTCTTACTGGTTGGTAGGTGATCAAATACTTATGTCATGCAATAAAATGCAAATTAATTACTTAAAAATCATACAATGTGATTTTCTGGATTTTTGTTTTAGATTCCGTCTCTCACAGTTGAAGTGTACCTATGATAAAAATTACAGACCTCTACATGCTTTGTAAGTAGGAAAACCTGCAAAATCGGCAGTGTATCAAATATATATATATATATATATATATATATATATATATATATATATATACACTGTATATGTTTCATTTTCACATACACCAAATAGGTGCAGTGAAATGTGTTGTTTTACAGGTTCAGCCATAATATTACAGCGCCCCTGAAGCAAATTAGGGTTAAGTGCCTTGCTCAAGCGCACATCCACAGAATTGTCACCTTGTCGGCTTCGGTAATGGACCCAGGAACCTTTCGGTTACTGGCCGACACTCTAACCGCTAGGCTACCTGCCACCCCAGAAGAGAAGAGGTTGGCGTTGTCTCTGAGTAACTTTTTTCACAGGGTATGCATTTAGATATGGACTACAAAATGTCTCATCATTCCAAAATTCCAAAAACAACCAGCTTTTATGAAGAGCAGCGGACAGAATATGTCTACATGTAGTGGGCATAATATTTATCATGTATGATATTAGAAATACCTCCCATGCAACTCTTAATAAGACTAAGCAATTAGCCTATTAAAATGTTAATCAGACTCTAAAGATAATTAGCAATATGCAAGAGACTACGGTTGAGTTACAGTAATAGTCAATAAAGAAATGTCTGAGATTGGATTCTAAATACAAGTGGCTTCACATACAAGGCGTAAAGGTTAAGTTACAAGGCATTAACAAGCATTACAAGGCATTATTCTAAGCATGGTCAGAGAGAGAGAGAGAGAGAAACCATAGCCTGAAAGACCATGCCCCAAAAGTCCATGGGGTGTAGAGAGAAAGTAAGAGTTCCTCACCACAGCAGGTCAGGAATAAATAAGAGATAGAACAATGAATCTTAGAACCTTTAATAAGCATCAATTCATCAATCAATCAATCAAATGTATTCATAAAGCCCTTTTTACATCAGCAGATGTCACAAAGTGCTATACAAAAACCCAGCCTAAAACCCCAAACAGCAAGCAATGCAGATGTAGAAGCACGGTGGCTAGGAAAAACTCCCTAGAAAGGCAGAAACCAAGGAAGAAACCTAGAGAGGAACCAGGCTCTGAGGGGTGGCCAGTGCCCTTCTGGCTGTGCCAGGTGGAGATTATAACAGTACATGGCCATTAAGGCTAGATTTTTCTCCAAGATCTTAAGCATCTGAGTTGTTTGGATTCAAAAACCTGAGTTGTTGACCAATAGTATTAATTTAAAGTGAACCTCCAATTAGATATCAGACCTACATGATGTAACCTTTGCTTCTCAGAGGTGTGACAATGGGGGTTGGCAAGACCAACACAGAGAATGTTGAATTCCTAAGACAACACATAGCAAATTCTTGCATACAGTTGATAAGAAGAGTCACTTCTGGGGCTAGGCTGCCCTACATACATACAGTATATGTATATGTTCTAAGCAAAAAATACAAAAACATAAAATAAACAAAACATCAACACTAGGTATTTTCACACTGGCATTTTCATCCCAGGTTGGATTAATTTTGTCTAGTTTGAAACATTCACCCAGGGCGGAAACATCAGTGAGAATGTTAGGGTTGAGCTCAACCCATAGTGAGGATGTGCCAACCAACTGCAACATATTGAGGCAGTGTTCGTGATAATAGTGGTGCACAGTCACATTTACAAACTTCCCCATGAAGAAAAAGCATATTAGCACAGTTAAAGTTTGTTTTAGCCAATGCAAATTGTAAAATGAGAGGAAGCAACAAGGATGAGTATTTACAGACAGTGAGGGGATTACTAACTAGCCAAATTAGCCAACAATAGCTAACTAGTTAATGTATTCAGTAGTTTATACCTGAGGAGGCTGGTGGGAGGAGCTATAGGAGGATGGGCTCATTGTAATGGCTGGAATGGTATAAATGGAACAGGGTCAAACATGTGGTTTCGATATGTTCGATGTGTTTGATACCATTCTACTTATTCCATTCCAGCCATTACAATGAGCCCGTCCTCCTATAGCTCCTCCCACCACCCTCCTAGGGTTTATACATAGTTTATTCATAACTGGCTAGCAATTTTTTTCATGTATAATTATTGTATTCATTTTTTTCTCCCTAATTTAATTCAAGAAATGTATTCCAACATTATGAAAAATATCACCTGGCCAGTTCCCTTTCAATGGTTGAGTCTTCTATAGAAGATGGCTGCTATGGCATCGGCAATGATACAGGCAAAGGCAAGGATGCCTACTGCCACCCCAAGACCTGTAGAGGAGCCAGAGTTGTTGCTGCTAGATGACTGGTCTTTTGATGGCACAATGATCTCTGCTCTGATGGTAAGGAAAGGGGAGGTGATAGTTTTATGCTCTGTCCCCATGTCTTGGGTACTCCTTCTCCTGTTGTTACATTGCATGAACATACTGCAGATGCTCTTCTCACAGAGACGGGTGATGCAGCAGAGGAAGTAGGTGGACTTCATCTCATTCTGCTGCTTGATGAAGCAGAAGGCCTGGAAAGAGAAGCGGGAATGATGACTCTCTCCATTCTCACGAATGGTGGTTATCTGGGTGACCATGGGTGAAGTGTAGTTGGCATCCCTAAATAACTAAATGTTTTAAATGCTGATGAAACTTCCATTGCTGTGGTTGACGATACCTCCATCTGGGTTCTGTTGTTAATCAGGTACTATAGGGGATAGGCGCAAGAGTAATAATAATTCAGCTCAGCGTTGTGAGTGACTGACCGTGTAGTGGAGTTGTGTGATCGGACCACACCACTGATGTTGGCCGTCTGGACGTTGGAAAAGTCTGAGAATATCCCTGTGCCTGGTGCACTGGTTGTCCTGAAGAGGCTGCCACAAGCATTGGTTATGTTGATGGGGAAGTTGAATCTCACACTGTCATCCAGGGTCATGGGTAATTCATGATGTTGTTGAGGATAAGCAGGGACTCATTGTAGCCAGTGTAAATGGCAGGGCAGATGAGGACAGCAAGGCCAATATATTTGGTGCTGCAATCCACTGAGATGTTAATGTATTCTGGACATGACTGAAGTTTGATCCACAGTCACTTAGTTGTAATTGACTGCTTTTGTTGAGTATGATAGCCATAAGGAAAAAGCTGAGAGAAAGCCTTTGTGTTCCTAGCTTTGTTCATAGATTTTTACAAAATAATATGTCCCTTCCTGGCTTCTTCACAGCTTTTTGGCTCTTCAAATCAAATCAAATATTTTGGGATGTATGGAGGTGCTTTTGTAGAAATGATCCTTCCTGGGATTGGACAGAAATATAGGTAATCAAAGGGGTATGCAAATAATTGTATTATATTGAGGGGGCCACCGCTACCCTAATACCTTAGGGCAATTCCTGAAACCCAACATACCCTGCGTCTTGGGACAATGGCATTGTTCTGTTAAGACTGAACATTAAGGTATAGGTTCCCTGAGGTATTTCTTGAGGTAAGTGCTGCATCTAATTGGAATTTACGTAATACTTTTATAGCCTTATTTCAAATGTGAGCCCAACACATTGAAAAATACGAAGTTGCTTCTTTAAAGTGTGTGTAACTGGCCACCCTCAGTGTCTATAGCACGGCTCTCCAACCCGGTTCCTGGAGAGCTACCCTCCTGTAGGTTTTCACTCCAACCCGGTTCCTGGAGAGCTACCCTCCTGTAGGTTTTCACTCCAACCCGGTTCCTGGAGAGCTACCCTCCTTTAGGTTTTCACTCCAACCCCAGCTCATTACATGTAGGCATTGATTGACGCTCAATGTTAAATTTCCCTACCATCATATCTAAGCCAATATGACACCAATCTCTATGAAAATTCGCAAATCAACTTGATTGAAGTTAATTTATAACATTTTTTACATGCGTTTTTCTGGATTTTTTTGTTGTTATTCTGTCTCTCACTGTTCAAATAAACCTACCATTAAAATTATAGACTGATCATGTCTTTGTCAGTGGGCAAACGTACAAAATCAGCAGGGGATCAAATACTTTTCCCCCTCACTGTACAGGGGGTTCTGGTACCGAGTCAATGTGCGGGGGCACCAGTTAGTCGAGGTAATTGAGGTAATATGTACATGCCGGTAGAGTTATTAAAGTGACTATGCATAGATAATAAACAGAGAGTAGCAGCAGCGTAAAAGAGGGGGGGGGGGGGGGGGGGGCAATGCAAATAGTCTGGGTAACCATTTGATTAGATGTTCAGGAGTCTTATGGCTTGGGGGTAGAAGCTGTTTAGAAGCCTCTTGGACCTAGACTTGGCGCTCCGAGAACTACAACACACTTCCCGCCTCTCCTCATGAGCCATCCGTCCGTTACCGAGAACCACATAGCGGATTTTTAACAGGGTCTTTAGCCTTAGGAAAAAAATACAATTTCTTACCCAGAACTAGCTCAATATCTAGGCATCGGATAATAATAAGACTACAACGTTCATAAAGTGACCATTAGACTTGCCAACTTTTGGACTGAATAAGTTTGTAGGGGCAACAGTTTTGATAAAATGTATAATTTATCGCTCTCATTGGACATATAAATGGAATCATAGCCTATTGGATGCCAACTTGTTTTTAACCAGGACAGAATAATTTATTACTGACCTTTTCCTACATAACATAGGTACAGCAGATCTCCTTATTGTATAGGACAATTTTAAATGTGCCTTTAGAGGCCATGCAATTCAATGCTCATCTTTAAAACAAAAGCAATTCAAGTCAAAATAATCCATATTAAGAAAGGAAAGGAAATAGTGGGACTAACAGTACAGATAGATAGCAATAAAAACAGTACCATAGAGGCACAATATACATTAGAGGAAAAAAAAAAATTAATGTAGGAACTTATTCAAGAAAGATCAAGTGTAATATATTATAAAAATAAAGCTAACTGGATGGAATATGGGGAAAAATGCACCATAAAAAAAAAAATCTTTAACATAGAAATGCTACCAAAAATAATTTACTGAAACTTGTTACAAATGACAGAGTCACCCATGATTCACAAAATATATTTTGAAAGAGGAAGCAAAGTACTTTAAGCAAAGGATTTTTTTCCTATTAATAATGTAAAATTAACAGCTGTATAGAAAGACTCATGTGAAGGCCAAATTACAGAGGAGGAACTTCTTGATGCAATTAAAGCCTTTAAGTCCCGGAAAACTCCAGGGCTGGATGGCATACCAGTTGAGGTATACCAAACCTTTTTTGATGTACTCAGAGGACCGTTATTAGCATGTTTGAACAAGTCCTATACATTTTTTAGATTATCAGATACTCAACAAGAAGGTCTGATTTAATTATTAATAAAGTATGACTGGAATTTATATATAAATGCCTGGAATATTTCAATTTTGGAGAATCTCTTAAACAATGGGTTAAAGTTACCCTAGGTGTAAAATAGTAAATAATGTCTACTTCTCAGAAAGTTTTAAACTGTCAAGAGGAGTAAAACAAGGTTGTCCACTATCGGCATATCTATTTATTATGGCCATCGAAATGTTAGCTATTAAAATCAGATCCAACAATAATATCAAGGGCCTAGATATCCAAAGCTTAAAAACAAAGGTGTCCTTGTACGCTGATGATTCATGTTTTCTTTTAAATCCACAATTTCGATCCCTCCACAGCCTCATAGATGATCTAGATACTTTTTCTAACCTCTCTGGATTACAACCAAATTATGATAAGTGTACTATATTACGTATTGGATCACAAAAAAATACAACTTTTGGATTACCGTGTAGTTTACCAATAAAATGGTCTGACGGTGAAGTGGATATACTCAGTATTCATATCCCGAAAAATAAATAATCTCATTACAATACATTTTTATAGAAAGTTACCAAAAATAGATAAGATCTTGCTAGCGTGGAAAGGAAAATACCTGTCTATTTGTGTGCTAGGCTGGTTGAGAGAATGCTAAGAGTGTGCAAAGCTGTCATCAAGGCAAAGGGTGGCCACTTTGAAGAATCTCAAATATAAAATATATTTTGATTTGTTTAACACTTTCTTGGTTACTACATGATTCCATTTGTGTTATTTCATAGATTTGACGTCTTCATGATTATTCTACAATATAGAAAATACTAAAAAATTAAGAAAAACCGTGGAATGAGTAGGTGTGTCCAAACTTTTGACTGGTACTGTATATATTTACAAAAAAATTTATGGTAGTTTGGAAATGATGCAGACAATTACATTGATGGAAGCCACAATCTATCTGCAATATTTAAGCTGAAAAAAAACATTACCTAGCTAATGTTAGCTTGCTTGTACAAAGTCCAGCAGATAGCCTCTGTAGCTAGCTAACACCAGTCAGCTGAAATATAGCTAGCTAACAAACAGGCAAATAAAAGTAGCTAGCCAATGAATGTGGTTATGTTTTGATAAGCTAGGAAGCTAACATAACATTATACCTGTCAGATGAGAGCTAACGTTGGCTAGGTAGCTAACCAACAAGCAAGGAAAGCTAGCTAGCTATATTTTGCCAAGTAAGGTTTTTCATATAAGGCTGAAGTCATCATGTGTAAACTATTGATCTAGACACGTGTGTGTAATTGGAGCACAAACAAATATGCACAAATAAGCTAGCAAACGTCCTTGGCTGCTATGATAGCCAGTTAACGTTAGCTAGTTAAGTAACGTTAGCCAACGTGTATGGCCAGTTCATGCACCACAATATATCACACTTCGTTACACAAAACATAGCCAGTTAATGTTAGTTACGTTAAGTTTAAAACTACCAAACTTTCGGAAACTGTCACGCTACTCACGTTCAACTGGCAAGTGTCTTCAATAATATTTTCAACCTGTCCCTGACTGAGTCTGTAACACCTATCTGTTTCAAGCATATCACCATAGTCCCTATGCCCAAGAATGCTAAGGTAACCTGCCTAAATGACTACAGACCCATAGCATTCACATCTGTACCCATGAAGTGCTTTGAAAGGCTGGTCGTGGCTCACAACACTATTATCCCAGAAACCCTAGACCCACTCCAATTTGCATACCGCCCCAACAGATCCACAGATTATGCAATCTCTAATACATTCCACACTGCCCTTTCCCACCTGGACAAAAGGAACACCTATGTGAGAATGCTATTCATTGACTACAGCTCAGTGTTCAACACCATAATGCCCTCAAAGCTCATCACTAAGCTAAGGACCCTGGGACTAAACACCTCCCTCTGCAACTGGATCCTGGACTTCCTGACGGGCCACCCCCAGGTGGTAAGAGTAGGTAACAACACATCTACCATGCTGATCCTCAACACGGGGGCCCCTCAGGGGTGCATGCTCAGTCCCCTCCTGTACTCCCTGTTCACCCATGACTGCATGGCCAGGCACGACTCCAACACCATTATTAAGTTTGCCGACAACACAACAGTGGTAGGCCTGATCACCGACAATGATGAGACAGCCTATAGGGAGGAGGTCAGAGACCTTGCAGTGTGGTGCCAGGATAACAACCTCTCCCTCAACGTGATCAAGACAAAGGAGATGATTGTGGACTACAGGAAAAGAAGGACTGAGCACGCCCCCATTCTCATTGATGGCTCTGTAGTGGAGCAGGTTGAGAGCTTCAAGTTTCTTGGTGTCCACATCACCAACAAACTATCATGGTCCAAACACACCAAGACAGCTGTGAAGAGGGCACGACAAAGGCTATTCCCCCTCAGGAGACTGAAAAGATTTGGCATGGGTCCTCAGATCCTCAAAAAATTCTACAGCTACACCATCGAGATCATCCTGACTGGTTGCATCATTGCCTGGTATGGCAACTGCTCGGCCTCCGACCGCAAGGCCCTAGTAGTGCGTACGGCCCAGTACATCACTTGGGCCAAGCTTCCTGCCATCCAGGACCTCTATACCAGGCGGTGTCAGAGGAAGGTCCTAAAAAGTGTCCAAG